TTAACCCTCATACTACCAAAATATATAAGATATATAACAGTATGGCCATTGGACTACTGACTGAAGAATAATTTACTCTATGAAGCAATCTTAATAGCAGAGTAATAATAATGGCAATTTCTTCTCAAAGCATTATTAGTTATGTAATTAATGTCAACAAAAGAAAAAAAATAGATTGTTATTATTATTATTACTTTTGCAAAGTTACAATTAATTTCCATATTTTGTAAAATTAAAATCTATACTTTAATACAACTTGCAGTTTTTATCCCAAGTATGATCCATGTTATTATCATCCTTTGATTCTGGTATCACTTACTTTTCAGTAATTTCAAGTAAACATTTGTGTCGTATTTATATGACGAAACCAGTCTGGGTCACTTTTTAATATGTAGTAACTTGTAAGCAATGTGTCATGATGGATCAGTGGGTGGTGCTGTTGCCTGACACCCCCAGGTCTGGGGCTTTAAATTCCATCACTGCACTGTGTGTGGGGTTTGCATGTTCGCTCCGTGTTGTGTGGATGTTTTTCTGCAGACATTGTTTAGGCTAATTGGTGCTTCTACAATTGCCCTTAGGGTATGAGTGTGTGTGTATATGACTTGTGATGGACTAGCATCCTGCTCAGGATGTATCCCAGCTTTGTGCCCTGTACAGCTTGGGGGGTGGGTCACAGATCACTCTTGCTATGTGTGTGGAGTTTGCATGTTCTCCTAGCGTTACATGAATTTTCTCTGGATCCTTTGCTTCAGTCTCAAGGTTGAAAGAGGCAGATTTAGGTAAATTTGTGTCTCCAAATTGCCTGAAGTGTGTGACTGCGTGTGTGTTTGCCCGGTAATGATAATCTAGGATGTTACAGTGGTTTGTGGCCTGTGACGCTGGGCACAGGCTCCCCTTGTGCCTCCACAGTGGTCTCCCAGATGTAATGTTTCATATAACCCAGTTTTTCCCAATCTGGTCCTCAGCAGAAGTGGAGGCTCAAATCACTGACTTGCAACTCGACTTGAACTCAAATCACAAATTTGATGACTTGCGGCTTGATTCTGCAAAACTGATGTAAAGACTTGGACTTGACTTAGACTTGAGGGCAGATGACTTGAGAATTGGACTCAACTTGGACCCTATGACTTGAGAAGACTTGAGGTTGTAGTCTCCCCTCTGGATACCATAACGTTAATTTTATAATTTCAATGTAGGCCTGTATTAATTCTCTGCTGTCTGCATTTTCATTTGTCTGAATGCAAGGTCTCGTGAGATAGTTTGATGGAAAGTTGCATCACTCCTTGCATAGACATGGATGTGCAAACTATGTGACGACAATCATGACAGAGTGGAGACTCTCTTTTCAACCAATCTCTGTCTAAGAAGGACTTAACCTACAACATATTCTGGGGTTTTTTTGCTACAGCAAGTTTTAATCACTAAATAAGCTGACATAAGTAGGGACTCAAGTTACATGACTCACAACTCAACTTGGACTTGAGTCACAACTTCGATGCAAAAATGATGGAAAGACTTGAGGACACATAACTTGACTCAGACTTGCAATGTTTTGACTCGAGACTTGACTTGGACTCATCAAGGAGTGACTTGTTCCAATCTCTGGTCCTCAGGGGTCCAGATCTGGTCCATGTTTTTGCTGCCTCCAAGCTCCCTGCCAGACATTTTTTCTGACTTTGAACATCATCTTACCTTAGGAACAACAGTATCTCAAGTTGTTGACAGAGCACATGTAGAAATCTGTGGTTGCTGCATTTGTGCCTGTCTTCATCGAAATGTCTGTCAGAGTGCTGCTATCCCCTTGATACTATGTGATACTTTAAATTAGGACCCATGGCAAACATCAACTGAGTAAATATTTCCATTTGTTAAAACTGCATGGGCGGAATTGGGCAGTTTTGATTGGGGTCCTCAGTGACCCCAAAACATTTGCATTTTTACAAGGCACTAATCAAATTAGATAGAGAAAACAACAATATGACATCATTCGGAACAACTTGATTGACAAAATCATAAAAAATTGGAATGATGAAAAATGATGAAAAAATATACCTCTGCTCAGTGCTAATTTATTTAGATTATTATAATAAATCTGGGATGAAGTATGGTATACACTATATATGTATTTGCAGTAATGCAGTAGTAAGTTACAGATGGGTAGTATAAAATATGACACACTTTGAAGTCCTATTAGAATCCATTATCGTCATTTTCTTCTCCTGTTGAAGGTTGCCTTGACAGCATGCTGAGTAGGTTAGACCAGACCACTCTTTCCAAAGCTACAGATTCTAGCTCATTTTGGGAATTCCCTAGATGTTTCCAAACTAGCTAGGAGACACAACCCTTCTGATATTCCCTCTGATCATTACTCATGGAGAAATTACTAAGAGGAGCAGTTCATTCTTTTTCAGGAGAGCACCATGGCCTCAGATTTGGAGGCGCTGATTCTCATCACTGCTTCTTCAGACTTTGCACTGAACCATTTGAATGAGTCCTGGGGGTCCTGGTCAGATAAGGCCAAAAGCACAACATCACCTGTTAGCAGAGCTTTCACTTATGCTGCCCCTATACTGATCCCTCTGCTCCATGCCATGAATGACGGGTGATAAGTCATACGCTTGCTGGAGGCCAACACCACTCTAAATGACTTTGATTCTGTGTCAAGTATCTGCGGCAGGGAAGGGAGCAGGAGATTGACTGACGGATCAGTGCAGTGTCGACAGTAATACGGACGCTGTACCATTCTGTTGTGGTGAAGAGGGAGCTGATCCGGAAAGCAAAGCTTTCGATGTACAAGTCGATCTACCCTCCTACCCTCACCTGTGGTCATGAGCTCTGGATAGTGACCGAAAGAATGAGATTTCAGATACAAGCAGGAGAAATGTGTTTCCTCCGCAGGGTGTCTGGGCTCAGCCTTAGAGACAGGGTGAGGAGCTCAGACATTCGGGAGGGACTCAAAGGAGAGCTGCTGGTCCTCCACATTGAAAGGAGCCAGTTAAGGTGGTTCGGGCATCTATCTAGGGTGCCTCCTGGGCGGCTCCCTGGGGAGGTGTTTCGGGCATGTCCAACCGGGAGGAGGTCCCGGGGCAGACCCAGGACACGCTGGAGAGATTATATCTCTGGGCTGGCCTGGGGGACGCCTTGGGATTCCCGCAGTGGAGCTGGAGGAGGTGGATGGTGAGAGGGAGGTCAGGCCATCCCTGCTTAGACTGCTGCCCCAAGACCTGACCCCGGAAAAGCAGCAGATAATGGATGGATGGATGGATGGATGGATGCTGGGCACAGATTATCGCACTCACAGCACGCAGCAATGGTACACACATGTTCAGTATCACATATTCCTGCATATAACTCGTCACACCCTTGATGACATTCTTAACGAAGAACATTTTCCATTTGATTAATTTCCCTTTTCAGGGAACAGTGTTTTTCATTAAACGCTTATAATATAAAGTTAAACTGTGTTGGATACACAAGTACAGTTATACTCGTTTTACATCAATTTTCTCAGTCAAACCTATGAAATTAAATGTTTTTTTTGTTTGCACTCTAGAGCCCTTAATATTCTATGCTTTTACTGTTAAAAAAAATCTTATTTTTGAAATGGCAACATCCAGTGCTTTTTTATTCATGCAGTCCCGGCGAGCAGCGGATTTACGGTGCAACATCGAAGTGTAATGATTTGTATTTGCTTTTTTACACTGTAAATGCTCTCTATAGGTGTTTCTTATATACATATTCATATATGCTTCAGGTTGTTACAGCACACATTGTCAACCAGTATTTTTGTAGTGTAACAGGACTTTTTTACTGTGACGTTGCACTTCTATGACATGGGAATTCTATTTTAAATGCATTTGTTCTATGGTGCTGACACTCATCAGCCAGAGATAGATGAGCCAGAGAAAACTCCTTTCAGGCTGCATACTTTGACAGCTGTGAATTCAGTAATTAGGCAAAGTTGAATAAATAAATAATCTGGCGACCTATTTAGGGCTGAGCTGCAAGTAAAATTCAGGAGTGATCAGCTTTAGCCAATGTAAATGGAACAGGATGTCAACCAAGAAAAACACATTTAACTCATGTAAAATCCATTTTATTGAGACAAGGTGCTGATGCATTCTTTGTTTTTCACAAACACCGTCTTGCGCTACATGACAGATGAAGTTTTAAATTGCTGGGCCAGCCAGCACTCTGGGGGTTTAGAGCCTTTCGTTAGGGTTCAGTGCTGACCCAGGCAGCCACAAGATTCAAACCCACAACCTTCTGTATGCTGATATACATACATAACCCACTGAACTACACACCACCCAAGAGCAGCTTACATGGCTCATTATCATTCCAAAGTTATTCATGAGACACAACAATGTAAAAATGTTATCCTTGATAATTACTAAATTAGGTTGCTCTAATTGCAAAATGGCAAGTTAAAAATGCCAAACGTTTGGGTATTTTATATAGCATCATGCAATAAAAATATCCAATGCCAAGCCATACTTTTTAAGGATCAACTTGAGAGAGGTTCTGAATGTAAAGATGTTTCAAATTTTTCCTCTGTTTTCTTTTTGTAGGTATTGTTGAAGGTTGGCAGGCAAATCTGATAGCATGACAGATACATTACATTAACATAGCAGGAGCTTTTATCGAAAGCAACATGGATTTTTTGAAAGAAAGCAGGTGAAATTATTCTGCCAAGTCTGTGATTTGGGAAACTTTACAATTACAGGAACAGCACCCTAATCTGATTAGTCAGTGAATTGTTTCTTGTTGTGCACTGCTTAATAAGCTTAGAACTGCATACAAATAAAATGCACGGCTGAATGTTTGGGTGGTGCTGTAGCACAGCAGTTAGCACTGTTGCCTCACATATCTGGGAGTTAGCATGTTCTCTCTGGCTTGTCATGGGGTTTCTCCAGTTACCCCCCCCCCCCACAGTCCATTAATTATACCTTCCAAATTGTGACTGTGTGTGCCCTGCAATGGGCTGGCGTCCCATCCTGCGTTATTCCCCACCTTGTGCCTGTAGTTTCCGGTAAAGACTCTGGACCCCCTGCGACCCTGTGTAATACAAGCAGGTATAGAAAATGAAATAGAAAGTCAAATGGAGGTATGACACTTCTGTTTTTTCAGGGTTTTTAAAGAGAAAGCTTTCAAAATGAATGTTTTACTTCATCGCAGCTCTTAAATTCGTTGATTATGTAATCTTAGATACTTGGTTTAGCAAGCCTGCATGAAATTGTTAGTAACATACAAACAGGACATAAAAAAAATTCTAAATGTCAGTAAGCAATTATTAAGTGTATTCTGTGAAAATTTCATTTGCACCAAATGACATCATCAGACAGTCTGTATACTGATTTCACTGCAGAGCCACCATTAGGGCAGCGCAACCCTGCCCCCTAGGGGTTCCCGCTCAAAAGGGAAACCTGCCTAAATAAAGAGAAGCTAAATAACAATGTTATTAATTATTCTCATTGATTATATGCAGCTATATTTCACCTGAAAACATCAATTTAACTAAATATTTGGGCTGTAACAACACATGCAGGCTATTCATTTATACAATCAGTACATCATTTTCGGTTCAGTACACACAATGAAATGAATGAATCCATTTATTGACATGGGTGTAACCTAAATTCACAAATGCATATTAAGCACAGAAAGCATTATGCTAAATGTGGCTGTGAATTGGTTTTGGCCAATGCTGATTATGGTCAGTCATAATCGGTGGTTTGGGAACATTTTGGTTTCCCAATAAAGTACACCAGCACTGGAAAGGGAGTAGTTAATAAGACCAAGGCTGTCTGTCTACTGTATTATCCTGTGCACGACTGGAGCAAGGCAGGATCAGCCTGTGTGAGTTACTCTCCCCGTGGCATTTACGGTGATTTTACCAGGAAATTCAGACTGGTAACTATAAGCTGTAGGGATGTTTATTGTTATAGATATGCAGACAAACTCAGTAGTAGAGAACATGCAGTTTAGTTCATTTTGATTGTTATATTTTATATATTTTTAAAAACGTATTTTATATAATTGTTTTTACAATGTGCAAATAAGCGTCTATTACGTTTTACGTCGGCAGACCCATTGCCTTTGGACTGCAACTGTTCCTAATTGTGTTTGTGTTTGCAGTTTTAATAATAAGTTAATTCAAATTCTATTTCTCTGCTGTACAGAAATCGCACCGAACTGTGAACCCGAAACTGAGGTTTGTACCGAACTGTGAATTCTGTGTACTGTTACACCCCTACTAAATATACACTGGAAAATACACTGGAAATACACTTAATTGAAAACACGTTTTGGTCATGTAGCGTGGGCAAACGTAACCTGCGTATCCATGCTGCCGTTTGTCGATAGCTAGTCGAGAAAGTCTAGAATGGTCATATTGTAGACTAGCAGCAATTATTTTTCATGATAGTTGCTTCTATATTACCATGTCCAAGCAATAGGAGACAAAATGATTTCCATTACATGATCTGTTTTAGCCCAAAATAAGCTGGCTTGCCGCGCGCTCCATTCCTCCTCAGACACGGGCCTGTTTCACTGGCTGTATACACCGAACAGCCAAAACATTATTACCACCCACAGATGATAATAATAAAATAAAGGTGATTATCTCAGAACAACTGCACTTATCAAGACCTGGGATATAATAAATTGCAAGAGAATAGTCGGTTTTCATGGGCGACGATTTGGATGCTGGAGAAATGAGCGAGTGTAAAGATCAGACTGACTTTGACAAGGGATAAATTGTCATGGCCAGACGGTTCAGAGCATCTCCAAAACAGCGAGGCTTATGGGGTGCTCTCTGTGGAGTCCTGCTCATGACTTCACAATGAAAACCATATATATTGTGGTCTCGTTTTACTAATCTGCTCCCACTCTGTATTAAGCGGGGGGTAACGGATTTCCCTTGGCACCTGGAAAATCCATTTCCCCTTTCCTTACTGGTTGTGGAAGTATGAGCGGTGGCTGAAGATCATCCAGAAACATATGTACCTGTAGCAAAGTTAACACAATGAGCAACATTGTTTAGAAACACTGTCAAATTTCAGCAGGGGGAACAGATTTTCTCCGGCACTGGGTAAATCCATTTCCCCTTCTTACTGGACGTAGGAGTAAGCAGGGTGACTGAAAGTCATTCAGATACATGTGTAGTGTGCAGTATTAAAAGTACTGAGGCCCAGAGTTGGCCTGGGAACATATCTGTTCAACAGGGGCAATCCTCTGATTGCCCCTGGAGTCGCATCCACAGCCCAGGATTCACATCCTGGGTTGTGTTTCCTGATAATGGTCACTTTTAGTGTCACATGAAGACTTGAAAGGTATACCTTACTGAAGTTCTTTACTCTACTATAGCTGTTTCCAGAACAATCCCTTAAGTGATTGCTTAAGGTAGAGCTTCTTAATTGCAATGTTAGTAGGCACTAAGACACCTAATTGGTTGACATCGATGGCTCAAGAATTGATTATTCCCTCCATATAGCAACTGACGACAGCTGCATGACAGAAAGTGTTATTTTTAAATATAATACTGCAGGAATCCTAAAAATATTGTATTAATCAGAACAGGGGAGAACCTAAAAATGGAATATAAAATTAACAAACTGAATCATCTAACCGTAAAAATGACTTTCGCCGATTGGGTGCATGAACCCGCCTTCCCAGATTGTATTTTTGTATCTTTATTTGTTCTATAAACCCATTTAATTTTTGCTTGCAATAGAACCGCTACATACATGTAGATGAGTCTGCAGACTTTTCTTGAACTGAAAGTCACACGCCAAAAAGCTGACCAAAGTTGCCAACCCTGGTTTATTTAACTCAACATGTTTGTAGAAAATCATTAAAACAACAGAGAAACCATCCAGTTCTAAAGTAGTTGTTGACACAGGGGTGTTTCTAGCTATTTAATAGATCAGGGGCTAAGTCAATATATAAAAACAGCTTTCAAGGTTGTCCCTATCTCTATCTCTGTCTCTCACACACATACACACACACACGCACACACAAGAACGCACATGTAGGGTAAACATATCCTTATGGGGACCGCTCATTCATTTCAATGGGAAAAATGCTAACGCTAACTATGACAACCTTAACCCCCACCCTGCCCTAACCATAACCTTAAGTAACCAAACAAAATACAAGACTTTTTGCATTTTTAGTTTTTTCATAGCAGTCACCGATTTTTATAAAATAGAGTTTTCCCTTATGGGGACCAGGAAACCCGCTCGCACACACACACACACACACACACACATACACACACGCACACACCATTTTCTCCAGTGGATCCTGGCTCAGCTGGCTGCAGCAGCTCATCATAATCATCACTGCCTGCACTGGCTGTGTTGTTTGTAGTCTCTGAACAACACAAATCTATGTAGATATTAAGGTTACATCCATGACAAAAACATATTTTTTTCTTTCTTGTCCCTATATAGCCTGTATGTGTTTTGTTTCCCAAGTGTATTCTTTGGCGATACTGTTTCTTATGCTCATGTAAATGGGCGCGTTCACACCACGGCAATTCAGCCCGATTGTAATTCCTCCTGGAGGCGGTTCCAGAACCCTTTTTAGCACCTGCTCCAGACCAGGGACTTTTAGTTCAAACACAAACTACTGGGGAGGTGCGTACAGTGATAGTTTGCTGGTTGGTTGAGCACAAGCACCATCGGTAAAACTTGGAAATTACGCGAGAGTGCAGGGGAATAGATTAAATTATCAGAGCAAAAATTAAGCACATGGAATAATTTTTGTGAGCTACCTCAATTACAATTCGATTGAAAATTACATACTTTTTTCTAATAACACTGGTGTGGCGGTGAAACTTGCCAGCGCTTATTAGTGGAATAACATTTAAATCGTTTTTCATTCTGTGAAACTGTAAGATCGATCTGCCAGTGAGATTTAATAATGAAATGCAGACACTGCTCACTTAACGACCAAGTTCCATTCCTACGACTAGGTCGTTAAGCGAATTGGTCGATAAGAGAGGAGTATTCCCTTCACCAATATTGCTGGTTTGTGTTAAGCATCTTTAGATATTATTTTAATGTCACCTTTGCATGATTTCTAACATTTTTAGTATACAAAATAGTGGAACAGAATAGTGGAAACCAGCTCTAATATACATTACTTAGGTTTGCATACTACCAATACAAATAAATGGATGGTTCCGGACAGTAGCCACCTTTCTCGGTGATTTCATCAAATTGGTCAGCATAATTTTCCACTGCTTCTACGTCCATGCTTGCCACCTCACCGCTGAAACCTCAAGTTTGAATCTCCGACAAAACTATTGAAACCATTCATGGCTTTTTGTGTAGTCTAGGAGATTGCAAATGTCTAGTGAATACTGACTGACTGCAGGAATGAAACAGACTGAGAAAGGGTCTGACTGGTCAGAGAGCTGGTTATAAGTCCGGTTGGTGATTAAACAGGTAGGTCGTTAAGTGAGGAGTGTCTGTATAAATATGTTGTGAGTCATATGACAATGAATATGATAATAATAATATGGATAAAAGGCTGTGCCCCATTTTGATCACGATCACCTCTTCAGTAACTAACTAATAACTTAAGACAACTTATACATCCTCCATTGTTTTCGGGTGCCGGTGTAGTTGAGAATTATGTGTGAAGTTTAACCTATGAGATTTTTACATCTCCCACAGTTATTTAGGATAAAGGTTCCAGGTCCTGCTACGTGGTGTAAAAGCATCACACGACACTGGTTAGGAGCTACAAAAGTTCCTGGTCCAGACAGCCCAGGAACTTGTAACCAGCAACCCGGTTCCAGAACTTCGATGTAAAAGTGCCTACTACAGCATGCCTATTTCAACTGATTTGAATAACCACATTCAGCGATTTCCCGGAGTTTTCATTGTGAAATTGCCAAGAAAGCTAGATAGGTTTTTAAAACAGGGCGCAACTTCAAACTTTTTCTGCACTGTGCAGCGCTTGATTGCTCCCCTGCCCTGCAGACATTGCGAGTCAAGTTCTGCATTATTACACAGTCTCTGTGTTGATCTGCTACAACACCTCCT